AAAGCAGTCAAAGGTTGCAGCGAATAGAACTTTTTTTTCATTTCTAGCATTTGAGTAATCAATAATCGAAAAGATTATCAGAGATACGTTGATCGTCCTGCTTACGTGTATTCTAATGGTAAGACTTGATCAGACAGCCTTTCCAAATGAGCCATTTTACGAGACTTCCCACTGGTCGACCCCCTATGTCTACCATCCCGCCGATTTTCCATACTCGAACTAACGAACCAGTAAATAATCATTGAACCAACGAAGATGAGTATCACCACCGCGATTCGCGTTCTCACTTGCCATCCACGATGCCTAACGTAAGCCGGAATTTCTAAAGCATGTTTCCATATAATTTACAAAATTTTATTTACTTATTTATAAATTTTATTTATAATTATATTCAACAAAATAAGAATAATTAAGAGTAACAGTAAACGTTGTAGCTATCAAATTTCAATTCTAATATCTCGTATGTACATAATGTCTGTTATTGTAACTTTGATTAAAATTAATGATACACAGTATTCCATTGATTAGTCTCTATTATCTGGAAGAACAAATTTGACAGAGTCATTCAAAAAATATTTAAAAATGACAAATTCTGACAAATTCAGACAGTATTGCCAAAATTTGACGGTAAGTATCTCATTTTGTCTGTAACTGTCCGAATTTGTCCGAAATTTGTACATTTCGATAATCTTCGAAGAAATTTCAAACGAATTCAAACACATTTTAACCACATTTCAGACAATTTTGGACATATTTGGACAAATTGTTCCATCAGGATTGACTTCATTTTTGCGAGAAAAATAATATGCTATAATTTTTATGAAAATACCGTTTTGACAAGTTATTGTATATGTTGGATGTTCCGATTGATTCTTTTAAAGAATTTAAAGTAAACTTTTAAATGTTTGTTTCTTATATTGCACGTCTATAAATTACATCTTTTAATAAATTTTTCTTTCGATGAAACCTTGCTTTTACCTTGCGTTGGATTGTCTTCCATGTTTATCGGCAAGGGGTGCTATACTCCCGCAAGATTTAGCAATCGTACGAACATCGCCACGACGAGTAACTAGCTGCTACTGCGTCCGAAAAGCAGAAAACGCGTCAAGGGCTCGTGGTTCAACCAGACACGTCCGCCAAAAATAGAGAGACACTTGTACGCCATTTCCCTCCTCTGTACTTTACTCTGACGTTTACTGTCGATCGCTATTTGCCTGGAATTTTTTCGCGGACCGTTGTAACGACTTGACGAGTGCGCGTCTCGTTATGCAACGCGTATTCAAGAATACACCAGCAGCGTCGTCATCTCGCGTTTATAATTTATAGGCTTCCGGTAAATAGTCGAAGAAGAAGTTCAGGGACGTTTCGTCCATTAATCATTATAGACATAACAAACAAAATTGGCTGCTACTAGAAAACAATTCGCTGATCTTAAAATATGAGCAGAACATTGTAAATTGAAAAGTAATGAACATTTAATTACCTCTCTAAAACTCTTTGGAGTGAAATCTTACTTTAAAGAGTGAAAATTTAAGCCAGTCTTGAAAAAGAGAAACTCAATTTTCAATTTCTTTAAGAATAAGATTCACTCTAAAAGTTTAAAGAGTATATAGGTATATATATATATATATATATATTTACAAAAAATATAACAATTACATCACTTAATCAAATACACGTTGTTTGATTTCGTTATTTATATCGGATTTAACTCCATGGATTGACAAAAATTTTTAAATGAACGAATTGTAAGCTTCCTTAAATTATTGTACATTGTGATTCCTTGCAATTTATAAAACAGTTTTTTAATTTATTTTAATTTATTATTTAATATTGTAATTATCAATGATTTGTATATGTCAACAGGAAGTTAATTCCTTCAGTAGACTGATTGGATAATCGTGACGGACACGTGGGTGTCTAATGTATACTTAATGTGCTGCAACTATGGTCCGTAAATGCGTCGGCATTAGTGTCGCTAACTTTTGAATTAGTTGCATGAGAATCCTCGTTTGGCTGCTGATGAGAAAGCCAGACACCTACATTCATGGATTTATATTCGAACTAAAGACTCGACTGAGAGCCTGCAACAAATGTTCATTGTGGGATCTTCTTTTTTTTCATGTTACGTCCCACGAAACTTGGAGAACTTGATTTCATAAAAAAAAAGGCTTTAACTTATGAGATATTGTCTATTTCTAAGCATCTTCTTTGAAAAATAATACTCGTGGGAAAATGCAGCTTATGTCTTTTAATTTCTATCTTTAGTAAACTATAAATCGGTCATTAGATAAAACTAAAAAGTTTTATACTGTTCATTCAAAGAAACAGAATTAATCTGAACAGTGTTTACTGATCTCTGACGTTATGCGAGCTTCGAAAATTAAATTGAATGTGTTTTAATTCTTATTTGATACGGAAGACTTTGGAGAGACTAGCTGCAAGACGAAATTCAGGAAATGCGTTTCCAAACGGGCGTTCCCGTCCTCGCAGACCGCTTGGCACCGTTTCACTAGGCTAGGAGTGTCTCATATTTCAGGGAATCTCGCTTCCTGTGGCGATAGCCTAGTACTTCGATGAGGTGGTGGGCCTCTCGTCGCATCTCTTTCGGCATCGTACGCGCGTGTAAGCCGCATTCAGAGGGGGTGCAAGCGTCCGACAGAGGAAGCCAAACAATGCCGATGACTAATGGAGACGCGTGACCCTCAAGAAGGAGTCGACCCTTCGAAACGTGCCGCATCGAGGGACCCGGCCGGTGTCCCACATCCACCCATTCTCTCACTCTCGCGCAGCCGTCACTTTTCGCTCCTTCTCTCTTTCCTCCCACTACCCTTGTGTTTTCTTAGGTGGGCCTTTACCGAGATTGACTTCTCGTTGACGGAGTAATAGCCATCCTCAATGAAACACACCGACGACGAATTCGTGAATGAATCGGATCAAAGAGCCAACAAAGAAAACAACTTCATTCCTTTTCTCCACATTTTTTTTCATTAGATATATTAATGTGATTCTTGCAATTACAATAATTAAATTACATAGAAAATAGTTTATTTTATTTGTATATTATTCTAAAAAGCACATTGTTAACGTAAATAAAAAGAATCAGTCATTTATTATTAAATTTAATATATCAAGAAAATTTAATTTTTCTAATATTATATCACATGCATACATTGTTTAAATTATTTTATGCAAGAATTGAAAATGTTTACTATTGTGTCGATTAATCGTTAAAGTTTTTCCTAAAGTCTCTGATTAAATTTCTTTTATCGATATTGTTTTCTTTGTTAATGAGCTAAAAATATTAACAAACTAATACTTACAAGTTATTTTATAAGTTAGTAAAAAATCAGTTAAACTTATGTGACAATATTGAAAAAATGAAAATAAAAATTAATGTAATTTATATATATAATAAATTAATAAATAATAATATAAGTTTGAGAGATTCATATTAAATTAAAAAATTTTTTTTTTTAAAGAATCAAATTTGTAATTAAATTTTGTTGAAATCTTATACAAGTTAGTCATTAACAATGTTTATGCTAATTGATTTATGTTTAGTAATCTTAAGCATATTTTACAAGATTCAATTTCCTTCCTTTCGTCAAAGGAAAAAAATTTAAACAATCGTGACAACCGAAACGAATGATTTCTTTCCTTCTAATAAAGCATGACACACTTGTCTCATAGTCGGAAGTTAGTATCGTATTTCAAAATGAGGGAAGAAGCCTGGTTTACGTTTAATAGGGCTAGATGAGATATATGAAAGAAAATATATATATGTATTAAAATAAGTAAGAATTCAAACTTTAATAAAAACACGAACTAGTTATAACAGTTTTTCTTAATCTAATTTTAATCGATTAAAAAATTGTTTGAAGAAATTTGAAGACAAAAAATACAAAAACTTATTTCAAAATATATTTTAATTTTCGTAGTAGATTCATATATTGAAAATAAATTTAAATACCATTTCAGTTATCTAAAATATATTCTTAATTGGCTATTACTTGTTTCATCCAAAGTTTGACACTCCTGGAAAGACAGCATTGAAAATTTAGCGACACATGGATAAAACAATTCGCAAAAACAGCGTTCACATGCGTCATATAAAAATTCTCTTAATCGTCAAATGTAGAGCTCAGAGCAAAAAACTCAGCGGTCCGGCCGCTTCGTGTGTCACCATTTCGAATTCTTTCGCGAACGCCGACTAGTCACTTTGGCTGCGAGAAACGATTCACGCTCAGGGATTGGCCAAAAAGCTGAAAGAAACGTAGAAGAAGATTACGGAGCTTTTGTGGCCCTACTCCTACGATTCTCCTCCGACGTTCTCGATGTTCTCCATGACATTCTCGCTGCCCTATGACGGCGCCATCACATGTGCTCATTTGACATTTCCGAGTAGGCACTAACGCAATTCGCATCCATCCGCGCGCGGAGTGATTCTACGGTGAACCTGTGCTTGCCTATTAATAAAATTATAGTGACAATTAATAGATATTATTAGTAATCTTACCAAGATAGATATTAATAATAATCTTACCAAGAAAATATATATAAGAACCGTAACGAAAAAATACGAGCAAAGAGATATAAAAAGGCTATTGCAATATATATTTAATTTCTTTTATAGTGTTCTATGATAAGATTTTTTTCTCCGAGCAAATATAAGTGTAATTAGGATCTTGTGTATCTTTCCGCTATTTTTGTAAGCACGTACTTTTATAAATCAAATAAAAGGACAAAACAAATGTTAAATGAATAAATCGTTGAAAAGTTATTGCGGATTTATCGCGAATTGACTGCTGATTGCTTTATAGTTGCTTTATTCTTGTTAATCTTTCTTTGTCAATTCTTTATAAAGATATTCGTATAAAGAATTCGCGTACTGACACTGTCAAAATCTTTATTCGTTACTATGTTGTGTTCGAAAGACACGATTGCGTACAGCCATCAGACATCCGATAATTTCGAATTACCACCGACCCTGCCAACACCATCATCTTTTCATATGGAAGGGCAAAATGCAAGATCAACAACAGGCTGTGAGGCACCGTGGTACCACAGGTGGTCTTGGAGCAACCCATCAAATCCTTGCGGCGGATTTGATATTGCAACTGACGAAACCGCTCGTTTAATCCCACCGCCTTACGTCGTCAATTTTCTTCAAAACACCGACAGCAATCAAAATTATCGCACGTGCAGGTAAAACTCCTATATATTATACATATAAAAAAACTAATGGACTTTTTTGACACCTTATTTATTTAATATTTAAGAATTTTATTTATTGAAAATTATACTTTAAAATACTTTGAAGGTAACTCTTTAAGAAGCACAGTATACTTCAACTGCTCTACTGTATAACAGTGTCGAAACTGATATTAATCTTGTTATATTTATGAAAATATTATATTTTATTTTGCATTAAAACAAATATTTCACTTCCATAAAAAACAATTAATATGACTCATAATTTCTAAAATTATATATATCTTTTATTAACTTATTATTATATACAATTAATAAATGTTTCTATTATCATTTATTACTTTTTCAATGATTTTTCGTATCGTAAGATCGTGTAATTATCATTGTAATATACCTTGTTACATTAATGAATATTGTATAACGTTTAATTTTTGTAAGATGGGAGCAATATTCTCAGCAAGATGCAACAGATTGTCATCTGATAATCGAGCAACTGAATGGAAAAGGAGACGAGAAGCCTTTGAGCAAACCTGAAGATTTATTATTCGAAAATAATCAAGATCGCCGTGTTACGACAAACACGGGGACAATGTTTCGCACTTGGGAGATGCCTCATTTGCAGAATATAGACCTCGAGTATGAGAGCAAGTATCAATCTTGGCAGGATTCGCAACATAATGAGAATCATGCGAATTCGTTGTTTGGAGAAAATACACGTTCGCACCAACGAGAACGAGGTAATGTTATTTTTTCATCAACTCTAAGAGATCGTATTTTATAAAATAACATTTATATTGTGTGTGTGGGGGGGGGGGGGATATATATATATATACATATATATGCACTATATATACAGGGTGTCCCGAACTTTTTTGCCAATCACTTTTGTGTAGAGCGGACTAAACTGAGTCGAAAAGTCTTCTACCATTTTGCAATTTTCGCAATAGTTAACAAGATATTAAACCTCGTTTATTATTTCATAAGTAAATGTTTGACAATAAATTCTTTATGTAGTGATAGAGTAATATCGTATTATACTAATAGAAAAATATACGATATGTTGAATTGTTTAATTACAGAAGTTAGATTTGATGATAAAACCGTAAAACGTGGAAATCGTAATATGAGATACCCAGGGTATTTCTAATATGAAATAAGCTATGGTGCTATGTCATAGTGAAAATCGTTGCTAAAGTATAAATGTTATTGTACAATAATAAAAAGGACAACCGGAATGAACATCGAGTACCCATTTCTGCGATGTTTGGTTCCAACTACCTATAAAAGACGAGTTCTGGGTACAATTTATTGCATGCTCATTTTTCGCGCAGGCTGGCTATGTTTGTTTGTATTTTAGAAACATTAAATAAAGTTTTCTAATTGCAATACTGTACTTGCGTTTTATTATCGATCTCTCGGGGCATCTCATATTAGGAGCACAATTTTTTGACTTTGCGATTTGCTCATTTTTACATTTCTTTAACCCTTACCGTACAAAGTCAGATACAAAGCCAGTGACTGAGCGATTTCTGTTCGTACAAGTTTCTTTGAGTCTTTCGATAATTATAAATTATACTACATTTTACTATTTTCCAAAATAAAGTTTCAATATTTATTTTAGAAAGTTGAAAGTATGTTGGTGAATTTTTCGAAATTTCTTGAATCATTCTGAATAGGTAAAAAAAACGGACGGATTCTATAATGATCCATATATTTGGATGCATGATGCACCAAATTGTACCTTGCATTGTAAGAGTTAATTTAAAAAAAATAGAATTTGAATTAAATTTTACGTAACACTATCATTAAATTCCCTTCAAAATGACATATTATTATTTTTAATTCTGCCCATAGCGTCTAGCATTTATACATGTATGTATATTTGTATATATGTATACGTAAGTTATTAGATTAAAATTATATTTAAAAAAAAACTATCTATCATTCAAGTAGAAATCTATTATAACTTGTTGGAAAATGATTTTAACTCAATTTAAATTATTCTGAAGCAATAATTAAGCCATTGTTATACGAATTTTAATAGCTCTGCACAGCTGTGCGTAATACATTAGGTTGAAACCTTTTGAATTATAGCTTCAACAGATTTCCGACGTAAATCATTGATAATACAGTTAGAAGTTTTATGACTTTAGTGTCGCCAATGCGGCTATAACAGGCCCAGTACAATCTAAATGTTTATCGGATGTCTAACTGCTGGTATACATCTTGCATAGTAAACGTCATTGTTGTATCGCACGCTGATATTTAATGTATTCTGTCTACCCTGCTAATTTGTTGAATAGCAAATAAATTTTGCGTCAAAAATAGAATTCTAATATAAATTGAATAGAACAAATAAGAAATTAACAATAAAACTAAAATCAATTAAAATTAAAATTAGTATATTCCTTTTTTCATGAGAAATCTAATATATCTAGATTGTATTATAAAATAATAAAAATTAAGGAAAGTATTATAAACAATAATAGAGACCGAAGTTGACCCAAAATCGTTATGAAATCAAGATTTAGCAATTCACTATTTTACTTCAAATGATTTTATTTCGGCTGCAGTCGATTTGGACGCTTTCAGCACTTTTCAATTCTATTCTCATTTTACATCTAATGAACGATAAAGACAGAATGATGATTATTTGCAGCGTTAAGTGGACCGCACTCTTAGGCGACATATGAAGGTTACAGTCGATTTGGACGCTCACGCGCTTTAAGCGCTTGTAATCATCATTCTGTCACTCTAAATTTACGATATTATTTTTTTATTTTTTTGTTTAGAGATTTCTTTAACAATTACTTTTAATACTAGAAATTTAAAATGCCTATTACGGTCGTAGAGTTGGATCTTCATTGCTTTAAATAATTCAATTACTTTTAAATTTATTAAATTAATAAAAATGTTTTAATACGATAAATAAAAACAATCTAAAAAACGGTTAGAGCTGAGTCTTAGTAATTAATAATATTTCTGTGACTTTTTAAAATGTTTTAATTTACATATTACTGTATAAGTACATACAGTACATATTGATGTATAAATCATATATTTATACATCAATATAAATCTTCTTTATTATATGAATATCATTATACATTAACTTGTCCCGTATTTGCAAATTAGTTGCATCAAAATGTTAGCTTTTAGTACTTTGATGTTACTCTCTAGTATTACTCTAATAGCGGCCATCATTGCGGGCCATGGATTATGAAAGATTTTGCGTTTGACGTCAGCTAGCAATTAAAGTCAAGATAGCGGCACGGAAGCAAAGTTAAGGGCTTCAAGAGAGCGAAAAAGAGAGAAGGAAAGACTCTCGCTCTCTCAGCAGCCACGTGTTGCATTGCGGTAGAAACCGCGTACTTCTAGCAAAAGCGGATTTCGCAAGCGGGCGCATCAGTGCAACGTGCACTGATGCATCGTACATGCGACTATTTTCATCTGAGGCCGACAACAAAAAGTCGCCGACGAGCCGCGAAATCTTACCGCGGAAAACCATACGGCAAAAAGATCGAGCCGGATGATGAGCGCGTTATGTCACCATCCGGGATGGAACTGGATCGTTCTCTTAATGCGAATGAGAGAAGTGGGAGAGGAAGGGCTCGCATCGATACCACCTAAAGAGAATGTTGTCTGAAATTCTGTTTCTTTTTAATTTTATTTTATTATATACTGAAAATCAAACGAATAGAAGGTAAAACTAGCCGAAACGTATGAAAATTATTATCGTTTAACGATTTTTTATTGTTCTGTCGTCTCATCAATAAATTTAACTTTTATATTGAGAGAATTCTTTGAACAATTTACGCACTCTGAACAGCGCCTATTCTCTCGAGCCCTTTTATTTTTTATTAGTACTTTTAAGTTAGGGAATCGTGATATTCAAATTTTAAAGTTCGTCCTTTATATTCAAATGTATATGTATATTCTTCTATATATATATAGAAAATATATATTATGCGTATATATATTTTTATTTCTGTTGATTGTAGAAACAACGAAAAGAACAAGCGATAAGCCGCGGAAAGAGAGAACTGCGTTTACAAAGCAACAGGTCCGACATCTTGAATGCGAATTCGCACATAGTAATTATTTGACACGTTTGCGACGCTATGAAATTGCTGTAGCATTGGATTTAACAGAACGTCAGGTACAATATAAACAATTGAATAGAATACAGAATTTTTATGTCTTTTCATCATTAAATATATTTTTACAGGTGAAAGTGTGGTTTCAGAATAGACGTATGAAATGGAAACGGACGAAAGGAAACACGGCGAACGTACAAGAAGCAACCACTGTATCGTGACATATATTCTCGAGTTCGTTATTCAATATATTTAGATTTTAATTGTATATAATTTATATTTGTGACGATTGTGACGTAAAGAATTGCGCGTTTACTCTCTGTACCAAAGATTCGAGTTTATATTCATCCAGAAGACATAACGGATTTTATTTGAGCCAATATCTCTTAGAAAGTAATGATAAACTATCGATAGTATCTTTACCATACCAATCTCTTCTGATAAATCATTCGAATAGCAGCTTAAAACTGTAGGTCCCATAGATATGCAGAAGAGATTGTCACATTTCTGACAATTAAGAACCTACAGACTTGTTTTTGGAGAAAAAATAATTTATACATACACAAATTACTTATAGAAATTTCAAAAATTTACTATGATAATGTGTTAAAGGTATAGTAGAGCTCTGTATTATAAAATAATTTCCTATTGTTTATTAAATTTATTTAATGCAAATACAAATTATAAATTAAATCTTAATTATAAATAAATCAGGACTAAATTACATTTTTAAATGTTTGTTACATTTTTTATATGTCAACGGGTTGAAATTTTATGCTAATCCCCTTAGCTTGCAATTTGCTTTCTAATGTAGAAAGTTTATCAAGCGATCTTTGAACATATTTCTCATGATCTCCAGCACTTTGAAGACGGTTTCTACTTAGAGTTGTTCGTCTTCTATTTTTGAGTCTAGGATATTTATCTTCTGACCAATTTATGCCCAAGAAAAATCCAGAATGGTGCTTCTCGGGTGAAATGTATGTAGCTGAAAAACATATATTTATAAATAATGAAAGACAATTAATTAACAGTATTAGTACAATTTTAAATACCTTTTAATAATCGGCCGCACATTAGATAATTGTTCATTGTGTCTGCCGCAATTTTAGCAACTTGTGAGTGAAGGAATTCAACATAACCGTAGCCGCGACTTTTTCCAGTCTAAAAATATATTTTTATAAAACTTATTGCAGTTATAAAACAATTTACAATTCAAACATTAACAATAATAATGAATTCCTGTCAATTAGAACAATAAAACGCAAATAATGGAGCCATGGGAATCATCCTTTTTTTAAACTTTGGACGTTACACAATAGTGACATGTTTGTATCACACAGTCATTAATTTTTTCATTTAATTCATTCGAAAAATTTTTTGCATTATTAATAGATGGCTATCATAATCTTGACGCTGAGATTTTTTGATTTTTTTCCATGATTGGTGAAAATATGTTGCTATGCTTCATACGGTTCTACCAACCAACTGTGTAACTGTGTTAGAACAATTTTGTGATCAATTGCTTCTTTCATGGACCATGCATTTTCGCAAGAATTTATATTAATGAAATATACGGTATTTATAAATTATTATATTTTAATAGATTCACTGAGGATGGCTCAAAATACAGCCAAAACATACTCTTAGCTGTTTAATATAATTTTAACATTGTTACGACACAATATTTATATCGATTAAATAAATTAGTTTCATTTTTTGCATTTACACACTCCTATGTTGCTAACTCCCATGGCTTCATTATTTACATTTTATGTAAATACTTAGATGTCCTTTTATATATATATATATATATATAGTTTACAATTTATTTTATAAACATATACATACTCTTTTAGATCTTGCTAATCGTACTCGCGTTATATTCCCAAACTGTTTGAAATAGTCTTTCATTTGTTCTTCATAAAATCCATGAGGTATGTGTCCTACGTAAACTATTCCTCTATTTTTAAATTTCTGTGGTTTGAATTGTTTAGGTTTAAGTTTTATGAAACTGTTTTCCTTTTTTGTGGCTGCTTTAGCTTCTGCTCTCTTTTTCTACAAAAAAAAACATTTATTGCTAGATGTAATTAACATTTACTATTCAAGTGATATAAATTCATATTAAGGATATCTCATTAAAACGATTATATCAATTTGAAAAATACCAAAACAAGGTAATTATTTAGAATACACATGTCATACGTCGCAACAAAATTTGATAAAAATATACTCGTTTGACGCGTTTTCTGCCGAATTCTTTCATAGTCATTTAGGACCCAGAAGTGAACTTTGATGTTATTCTAATTAAAGGATATGCATGAATTGAGGTCGGCACGTACAAAACTTGTTCTTTAGATGCCAAATTTTTTTTTACGAATAGAAATTGATATTTGAAGGTGCTTTTAGTATTTTAAAGAAAATAAATGCGCAGGGCACGAATGATCTAAAGGTGTGTATTAAGAAATATGTGTAAAAATTTTTGGAAGTTCAACGAGACTGATCGTCATTGGCTTTTTTTGCTTATTAGAATTTTAATAACTAGATATACTATATATATATATATATATATAAAAGCCAGTGACGATCACTCTTGTTGAACTTTCAAAAATTTTTTAGATGAAGCAACATATGATAAATACGTTTTTCATTTTATGGAGGTTATGTCGATACCTTAAAAATTTGCTTGACATTTTTCACAGCTTTCTCGAGACTGGCACCTGCTTTTGGCTTTGATATATTCTGTTTGTTCTTGGTATTTTTCCTCAAGACCAACTCCTTGAACGTCACGTCTTCTTTCTTTACTTTCATATTTTTTTAACCAATTAAAACAAGTTTATTAACGTTTACACGTGCACAGTACAATCAGAGAAAGACGCTAAAGAGAGAGAGTGAGAGGGCCGAAGCGGGCAGGAAGCACAGACTACTGTAATAACACTAGACTGCTAACTCTTCATTTTTCCTTATCTAAGGCTGAAGTCACATGGAGCGATTCATGCAGTAGCAAATCGTAAAATACTAAGGGCCACTTTCACCAAGCTCAGTTATGTTGGATTCACACTGCATCCGATTTGCGTCGTACGACGCTTTGCAACCAATCAGAAAACAGGATTCCAATGGATTTTGCTTCGTATCATCGTAACCGCCTCGAACCAATAAGTACTACTGTCTATACACCCTACTATCCACGTGACAGATTTCCTAACCTCAATAGTTGTCAACTTTAACGCTCAATATCTCACAGGGTAGAGCGACGTTTTTATTTGCCAGATTCTTTTCATTTCATGACATTATGTGAGTAACAATATTATTATAAACAATCTAAAATCTCTGCTTTAAAAACAAATTCTCCATAGGCTGGTAAATGATAAAAATACAAATATATAAAAATGTTTACTGTCTTATTCATGAATTTACTTGTTCTATATAGTCAAAAATAGTATCCATGATAGTATCAATAACTGAATAAATATGTTTTGAGTCTTGACATTTGTCATGTATAAAACGGTATTTGTAATAAAACATTTTATTGATTGAAGTGATGAAATGGATATTTGAAATTATGAAATATATAAATAATACATTGTAAATTAATAACTATTAAATCACATAGTGTATTGATATTGTCGCTCAGATACCTTCGATGCCTCGGATTCATTAAATGTTAAACAAGGACAGATGATAGAGACGTAGCCATTGTATATTAAAATAATTTGTTTTTAAAGCAGAAAATTTATATTTTGGAAGAGGAGAATTTGTGTTTTCAAAATAGAGAATTTGTTTAATAAAGCAAAGAATTTGTGTAATTGAAGCAGAAAATACTTTTTCTTATGTCGATGCAACAGATTTTCTAACCTAATATATAATAGTTAATTTTAACAATTAAAAAAAAACTTTTAATATCTCACTTCACGGGACTGAGCACATTTTCTGCCAGATTCTTTCGTTTTACAAAAATAAATCGAATGAACATAATTTCAGTGAAATTGAAGGTGAAAAGTGTCTTCTGGATAATTACCTATTCTGTATAATTACCATTATTCTAAGTGTACTTTTGTGCTTTTTGTTTTTTATTTTTTTGATGTTTTAAAATTATATGATTATAGATAAGAGAGGGAACCAAAGTATATGTATAAATGATGGCAAATGCAACAGAGAAAACATCCGAAGTAGAATTACTACCATGCAGCTTTAAATTTCATAATTTTGTTGCCAAAGTCGGTGATACTAATATTAATTGCGAAATAATAAGGATGGAAGATTCTTTGTACCTGTGGATTGGAGATTCCGTTAATGGCAGCATGGAAGACTTGTCTTTTGCTCTTACATCAAGTTTCGAGAAACAGCCTATTACAACCAAAATCATAGGTTCTATAGCAAATGCTATATCCACAAACATGGCTAAGAGATTAAGCATGAAGTTTGGAAAAGCAATATATGTTAGTTTTAATGTAACTCCAAACAATATAATATTACCAGGAATTGAAAAAAGAATTCAAGAAGAGTTCAAGACACATGCAGATCTATTAAGTTTTTGACTTCGATTATTGATAAAAAACACTTTAAATATTTATTTAAACATAATTTTGTATAATGTAATAATTTTTAATATTTGTAATTAATTTAGAATGTTAATGTATTATAAAAATTTTGGATTCAAAGGATAATATGTTGATTATTTGTCATTTATTATGTGGAAGAACTAGATAACAATTTATTAGTTTATTAATGAAGCAAAAAGATGATCAATCTTTTCATATTTATTCCTTAAAAATTCAATAATTCGGTATAGTTTGATTGTTGATATTTGTTAGCAAATTACAGTTTTGATTTTACTAATTTTTCTAATTAATATCGATATCTTGAATCAATAAGATTTCTTCATCATCGTTATTTGATAATAAAATTTGACAATAAAAGTATATATCTTTGTTTTGATTTTTCTAGTAAATGTAGGTAAGTAATGTTCTTTAAAATATTTTTTTCCATTATTCTTTAAAACTCATTTTCTTTAAATTTTTTAAAGAAATATTAATATTTTCTACAATTATTAGATACACAAATGTGTAAAATCATTTTTAAAAATCTATCGCTATATTTAAAGTACGTAATATTTTTTTTAATTTAATCAAATTTTTTGCCTCGACTTCCAACCGAGGTAATATTTTTCGCAATAAGTTTATTACAGTTTTTTAAGATTAAATTTGGGAAATTCGGGGGGGATTATTAATATTTCAGATTGATTGCGTTGAAAGTCCGACAACCATATCGGCACGCAATTATAATTTCTGAAATTAATTCATTTAAATGAATATATATAATAGTTCAATATCTTAATATTCAGATCGTAGTGGCGCTTCGTATTTAAAAATAATGTTTTTAATTAAATTTAATGATAAAGTTAATAATAATAAGAAGAACGTATAGTTTATATATTACACGTACTTTTATTTTAAATATGTGAGCAGAATTTTATAATTATATACATTAAATTTAAATATAATGCATACTCTCTTTCTAACACAAGGATAAAATTTATCCCGTATACTTTATATAATTTACATTTGACATACTTTCCAGCAGTGTTTCGGTTTTTCAGGCACCCTTTTCTTATAAATGTTCTTAATAATAATACTTTGCCCTGATGAGATTGTTTAGAATAATTCGCTTGAGTGCTTTAGCCTTCAAGAACGCTTTGAAAATAATCGATTTTCATAGCAATTTTAAGATACACTTGCTGTTAAAAAATTAATGGAATTAAATACGTAAAATAAAATTAATATAAAGATTTAATAAGACGATTACATTATAAATAGGTATATTCATTTTTTAAATTTAATTTTTTTATATTACATACAAGCATTAAATATATCTTAAAATATATAAAAATTTTAAGCATATGGTCTCAAAGTTTATATTTGCAATCCATTAAGAAATAAAATAAGTAATTGTAGGCTGAATTAAAATAATATTGTAAAAAATACACGGTTTGATGTATTAAACACATAGTTTAGATTGCAAAACTTTCTATTTAAACGCATCTCACATACTTTTAATGTATGTTGTTTTCTTCTTACAATTGCCATTAATCGATCATGCTGTTCTCGATATTACACACATTTATAAAATTATGATAAAAAATTTCGGTCATTCTGTCACTTTCTTACATGTACAATTTACATTAATTTACATTAAACATTTATTACACACGATACACTTAAGAAGAAAATATTCTGTAGTAGTTCCAGTTAATTGACTTTTATCTAAGCAGCATCCGCGCGGGCTGCTTTTAACACATCTCCGGTGAATAAAAAAAGAAGTGATTGGGTGAAGATATTAGTAAATATTGATACTCGCCACATAATGTTATGCTACATATTTGTTTTTAAACACAACACTTCTTTATATTGATATGTTTTTCACAATAAAAAACAATTTCTATACTCACACTTTTAGTATAATTTATAAGTTTAATTGTGTCAATAATACATATTTTTTATAATTTTGGAAGAAATTTTAATAATTTCGATCTATATTGTTTCTAATCAGACTTATAAATAATACAAATATATTAAGAAATTATTCTTCATGATTCTATGTTCGGAAAATTTAAATATCTTTTGCGATTGAAAAATGCTTATTAATTAGATTTTTAAAACATAATTCATTCAGTTATAACCCGTTAACTTCCACAACTTGATATGAATAATTTTTACAATTTTTTGAATAAAATTAATAGAAATTACAGTTAATTATTCTCGTGATTGGAAATATTTTTAATTCATGTGATATATATATATTGTATATATATATATATATACAGGGTGGGGAAAAAGTATGGAAGCAAACAATTATTTCCGAAACTATT